AGACAATTTTGATTTTCATCTTTTTGAGGGCTTGTAATGAGCTAAACACAATAAATTATTGTGTTGCTCAATTGAAAATTAACCTTTTTTGTATCAATATAATATAAAACTATTACAAATAGTGAATTTTTGTCTTGTGCTGCAAATGTATACAAAAAATTCAGATAGTGTGTAAACATTGAACCGTGTAATTGCTCATTATGTACTAAGGAAAACAATGAATTCAGTGCTTGATTTATAAGTGTCTTAGTCGGCCGAAGAAGCATTTTTTAGCATGCAAAATTGTTATTATAAAAATCACATTGTTACTCAAGACTCGTCAAAGGTCTTTAATATTTATTAATGAGCTTACCGTATATTTTTATAAAACATGGCTAATCTAGGTAAATTTAGTTTGTAAACAATGGCCATTGAGTAGACAAAATGACGATTTCTTTACCAGTTCCTACAAGGTCCACAAGAGAAAAAGTGGGAGAATAAAGACTCTAGATGCTGTCGGAATAATAAATTTTCAAATGTCTCCATTATTTGATGTATAATGTAAAATGAAACAGTCAGAAAAGAATGGTTGAAAATTCGAATATACCTCAACAATTTTCTAGTGCAGAAATCACTTTGAGAAATAGACAGGAGACTCATATGTTAATTGTGCACTCTGAATTTATTGTTTTCTTTTCTTTAACATCAATATGAACTTAATATTCCTTTATAGTCCTATTTTCTTTCACCGTTAAGTGACGACCACTGCATTCATTTAACCATGGATGAAAACAAGGCTTTTGAAAATAATATTGTGTAGATACACTGCAAAAATGTGAAAGGTAGTAGACTTTTTCCCCCCATGATGACTTTTTTTATTGCAAATTGTATGTAAAACCATTTGGATTGGACATGCTTTGCAATATTGTTTAGCTGAACATAAAATTTATTTTCCTCTGAGATATTTCTAGACAAGTGAAGCAACCAGCAAAGAAACATTTAAATTACCCCAAACCATTCAACATATTTGATGGTGTTGACACTTGTATCAGTCTGTGAGAAAGTCTGTTGCCTTTTAGAGCTTTTCAATATTGTATGTATTCTAAATAGTTAGGAAAATATTTTTTGTATAGTATGTAAAGATTATTTCTGAGAAGTTATAAACACATGACCACTTTGATATCTCATATTGAGTTTTATATATATTTGGTATATTTGTATACCAGAAAAATCTTGATTAATTTGCATTTGATTTACATCAAGGGGTGACTGGGAAATTTATAAAATTGCAAAGCATTCTGGTTAAAGGATAAAATTGCAAAGCATTCTGGGTAAAGGAAGTCAGACTGTCAAGGTCAAAAGCATAGTGGCATACAAATATGGCTTAGGGTTTATCAGGGAACTGTCATTACAGTAGGGGTGGCCACCATAGTCTGGGAAAAAAGTTTGCGAACGTTGACGAGAATTTAAAGATATGTGGGAAATCTGTTTAAGGGGTGTGTGTAAACCATTCTGCCTGGGAGGGAGGGGGTGCATATATGTCATCTCAACTCMAGGGACTGTCGCAGTGTTGTTTTACCAATGTAAATGAAATTCAACCCAGTATCAGTTTAATGTACAACATTTTATTGCCACAGACAACATTATGATAGTATAATACAGTTTTGCCAAAAATTCACAGATTAGTAGCRTGAAAAAAATATTTAAATTTATAAAAATATCCTACAAATAATTTTCTATATTTGATTCGATTTATATGACAGTTGCATATAAAGTGAATATCAGTCATTTCTAATGCAATTATAATATTATTATAATAATATTGATAATTGTACAAAATTAAGAATCAATTCTTAATCTACAATTCTAGCTATACTGTCCTTTCACACGCAAATTCTTAGGGTCAAATGGCGGCTTTAGGTGTACCTGCRCAGGGAAGATTTCTCCCATTGATTCTAGAGTATATGTTCCTTCTTTAAGGTAAGTATTATTTATAGTTTGACCATTAGGGTCTTTGACATAGCCATAAGCAATGCTTTTATTAATCGCAAAACCAAAGTCGCCACGACGGATRAAACCAACCACTTCTTCATTGCGGCGGATTGCTTCTAGTCCTAGGAGAGCTTTTGGTCTGAAAGGACAAGTATTKTGATTGGTTAAGACTTGGTTCTCAAGCAATGRTGTGATATGGGCTTGTTGCATGTCGCAGATTGATGAGAAAGTATTTTGAAATTTGAAAGTTGGATTTACGGTAATTTCACCCAGCGGTAGTTTCACCCCCAGTCTTTTCAAAGAATACTTTAGAACGGGCGAGATTATGYGAAAAGACTGGGGGTGAAACTACTKTKGGGTGAAATTACCGRATACCAAGTGATGCATTAGAAAGATTCACTGARTTMACTGTACTGTACTCACTCCTCTATTGTAAAGCAAACCAGTTTCTTTTTCAATCCTTCGGATTTCTGCTTCTCCAGAGCATCTCTTCCCAGAAAGGGGGTATCTGTCTTTAGTTTACATGTAAAACCTAAGCCTGCCTCGAGGGGTGTGTCATCATGGCGGAGGTCCTGGTGCCAATGTTTGTACCCCTTTTCTGCACTTAAAGAATCAATTGCTCGATAACCGGCATTGGTGATCCCAAAGTTCTTGCCTGCTTCCAGGACTGCTCGGTAAACAGAGACACAGGAATCCCGTGGAATGTGAAGTTCAAAGCCAAGCTCTCCTACAAAGGTCAGACGTAAGACTTGAACATAGTGACCAGCAATGTTGATGACCTTATGAGTTGAAAATGGAAACGCCTCTGAGCTGAGGTCAGAATCTGTGATTGATTGTAGTACTTCCAGACTGAAAGCAGTGAATAATAACAATAATTATTATTAATAATCAATAATTAATAATAATTTAATAATAATGTACCTTTTAGGTCCCTGAACACTAAGCATCCCCATGTCATTAGTGTGGTCATCTAACTGGACGTTGAATTGTTTCTCAGCCAAGATGTTCCGGATATGATTCCAACTGTGTTCGCCAATACCACCACCAATGGCTAAATAAAACCCATCACCTGAAAATATACATCAAAATACTTAGAGCGGATTTCGTATGAGTGGGAAATGGACGGTACTGTACTGTGACCGCAATCGTACTGTAACCAAATTTTAGTGCCTCATTGGTTCGCCAAAATTGTGCAGGCCAGATCCGGTAACTGTGTGGTAACCATGCGGTAACGGTGTCCCACTCATACGAAATCCGCTCTAATATAACATTACTTATCCTTTCCATCCCATCTCGTCCTAACTCCCTTCTCTCTTTTTTTCTTGTTTCCCTTTCTTGTTTTCCTTCCTTTCTCTTTGATAGTTCCCCCCTTTTCTTACTCTTTTCCACTTTGTTCATTCTTTCTCTCCTTCTTCTGTCTCCTTTCTTTCTTTTTGTGTCCTCCCTCTCCTCCCTTCATTCTAATATATCTTCATTACTTTTTCCCTCCTTTTCTCCTCTCTACTATTTCTTTTCGAAACCCTTCCTCCCTTGTTTTCTTTTTGTTTCTTCTTTCCCTTCTCTCTATCCAGGCAATTTCTGCTGTAAAAGATAGTACAGAACTTTGAATATAGTATAA